TCAGTAGGGGGCCCCATGAGATGCCCCTAGTACCTTTTCATAGGCTTTTTTGAGTTTGGGCAAGGACACGGGCTCCATGATCCCCTATTGCCCGGGGGCCCCATGAGTTGTCAGTCCGCCCCTGGAGACAATACAACAACAATACAGTTCAATACCAGAGTGTTAGGATGGCCCTGCTGCTTAAAGCTTACAATCTAAGAGGGAGCAGTCCATTTTTCTAACCATGTTGTATGTTCCAATCATATTTAGGGTAGTCACCTACACCTAAACTGCCACCCTGCTTACTGAATTCAGGGGTTCTTCTCCTTGCAGGCTCCTGTAATTTTCTTTAAATCTGCATGGTTGTATGTGGCTCCACCTGCACAGCTTCATCCATTTACAGAGATCTGTGAATGGAGACTACAAGTCTCATCTGCCCCTGTGGCAGAGGGACTTCTAGTTCTCAATGGAACTCAAGTGCTGTGATATCACCACACTTGTAGACCAGTGATACTTCCTCCAGCCCCATAATCGAAGAGCCATACCTTGGTATGGACCTGTGGCTGGAGGAGTAGTCTGTGAGAACCTGTCCTTTGTTTCCTTGATTGGCTGATCATGGTTGCCATGCTTTGCTGGCTTCAATGCAAAAAATAAATAAATGCACATTTTTTTCATTAATCAATGTTGGTGTACTTGTTTATTTTTGCAGAAGAAGGGATATTCATTTAAAAGGAAATGTTTTTTGTGTTCTTAGTTGGGTTCCCTTTCTTTTAAGTTCTACCTTAGAAAATACTAAGTACATAAGCAAGATTTTTCTTAAGAGGTATTGTAGTCTTATGCCTACACAACATACAGCTAAGGTGACTCCATATATCAGGGGTTTTCCCCAGATGGATAGATATTTTTGGTCCAGTTACCACCCTCTTATTATATGCCGGATAAGCTTTGTCTTTATTTACTGTTTTAGTACTTGCAATAGGCTGTGATACTGCTCTGACTGTTCAGTGGTATTGGATGCACCTCTGAGATTTGTAACATTGCATTCTTTTTGTAAGATCTCTTGTCTTGCTGAAGTACACAATAAAAATGTAACTAATAAAAGGAAATGTTTTCAAAGGTATTGTTACATTGCTGACCCAAACACTGTTTTTTCTGGCATCCAATGGGTTCTAGCACATGATACTGATGTTTGAACACTGGTATTCCTGGCCAAAAAAATTTCTTGATTTTTTATTTTGCACAGACACATGTAAAATAAATTCTAGCTCAGAGAATGCAATTCCAATCCCTTCAAATTAACATCATACATGTGTAATATACTGACTGGCAACACAGGTTTCAGTATCTATTTATTTTTTTACTGATCTATACGCAGTGCGTGTTTACGAGTCTCTGTGTACAGACACACTGAAAACCGTGGTCTGCATTTACATCAGTAAAAAAAAACCCTAAAAAACCCCAAAATACTTGTACACCTAAAAAAAAAAAATCTGTGTTTTTAGGTTACATGCACAATAGGGGCTAAAATATACCAAAACCTCTGGCAGAAAAAGACACACAAAAAACACTCGTAATGACTCATATTGCACAAGAGTTTATATATGTTTATGGACATTTGTTTGTTTTTAGAGGCTTTTTTTTATTCAAAACATTCATTTTTCACTATAATCAATGTACACTTGAAAATGCTGAATGGTCCTAAATGCTTTATTTATGAAGATTTAGGTGAGCTTATGCGCATCATGCATTATTTCTGCCCGAAAGCTCCTCACAGGACCTTCTACTCTCCTACTCTCTAGCTCTCTGATCTCCTCCTCCCACGCCCGATTGCAGGATTTCTCCAGGACTTCCCCCATCCTCTGGAACTCCCTACCCCAATCCATCAGACTGTCACCTACCCTCCTCACCTTCAGGCACACCCTGAAAACCCACCTCTTCAGGGAAGCCTACCCCACCCTCACCTAACAACTGACCTCCTCCACTCCTCCCACCACTCCATCCCCCACAGCCATTTCCTCCTGTACCACTTTCCCCTCCCTCCTAGATTGTAAGCTGGAAAGAGCAGGGCCCTCGAACCCCTCGTGTAGTGTATTGTTTCTGTATGGTCTCATGTTCTGTCCCCCTTGCTATTGTACAGTGCTGAGCAAACCCTTTGGCGCTATATGAATACTGTATAATAATAATAATAATCTCGCAAATGTACTAGTCATGTTTTTTTTGTTTTTTTTTGTTTTTTTTTTTTCAGCATGAAAATGCTCCTCTGCAAATATGCCTGTAAACGTCCAAATGTAGACAAATAGGCTAAAATAGAGTTGCTTATACAGGCTGAAACCCCCCCCCCCCCCCCCGACAAAAGCCTGTATAAGCAGCATTTTTTATACACAGTGTGCAACAGGCTTCATTGTCTTGGGACATCAAAGAGATCTTGTTCCCAGTAGAATCTATTAACAATGTTGAATTACTAAACTATTAACCGTTATCCAAGACAAAATACTGTATATGATATTACAAAAGCTTACAGTATTTATAAACCTGTAACATTTAAGAATCATTTTTGACAACGCTTCATAGATTGAAAACATTTATGTAAGAATGGTGTTCGGGATTAAACAGACTGATATCACAGTGACAGTTTAAGCCAAGAGCTGTTCGTGTCTGTTAAGTAAAAATCCAGAATGTCTCTCTACATGACAATTTAGCTTTTAGATCCCCGCCACTTTTGCTTATACTCATTTTCTCAGTAGCTTGAAATTTTAAAGGAGAAATGTTTTGACTGTACACATGCCCGCAAAAAGGATTGTGTTTTGTCTCCTTAGTCAGACTGAATTAAATGATTTCTAACTTTAAAGTATATCCATACCCAATACTTCAACAGTTTTTAAAAACTTTTGGGTAGAGTGGGGAAGGATTAGGTTTCTTATAGGAGTGTTCCAGTCTAATTAAATGCATTATTAATCCATAATATAGGTCATGTCTAACGTTTTCTCTTTTTTGGACTGCGAGCTGCAGTTTTCCTACATGATGAATATTGACAAAAATATATTGGTTTTAGTGTGCAATCAAAGCTCCTTGTGAGTAACATTTCAAAAATGTCTGGAAGCATTGTCTGCTCCAGCCTTCATTGTATGCCACAGGCCAGATATTCTCTGGATTGTTTTAATTTCTTCTAGAAATATCATTCAGATACTTGAGCTACAAATTAAGCCTAACAGTGTAAATTCCTTTAGCATTTATTGATGACTCCCATGTTAAAGTGAAACTTAACTGCAGCTGAGCACTAGAACCATTATTTAATAAGTTTAATATTAAAAGCAAACTCACCCTTCTGTCCACATCTCCATGCTTTATTTTGTTAGAAATCACTAAGAAAGATGCCCCCCTTAGAATTTCTGACCATATTCATCTTGAATAAGGGCAGAAGATTGATTTAGCGTTTACTTCCCAGAATCCCTCTGCCCTTAGCTCAAGCATGCATGCAGGAGGGTGTTCTTAGCTGAGAAAGCCCCTCCTCCCCTCCAGATGAAAGGAAAAAAATGCTCATCAAGATTTAGGAGTTGTTTTAAATTTTATGTTTCTTTAGTTGCCTTCTGGTATCTGGCCTAGGCCAAAATGATGTCATACAAGTAAATATAATATACCTTCCTATTATTTACTAAATATAGCAGTATAAGGATTAAAATAGTTAATGCTGATTGAGAGAGTTTAGTTCCTCTTTAACTGCTTGCTGACCGTGCTATAGCTGAATGACCGCTACAGCACTGTCATCCAGTTCTGGGAGGGCGTCTATTGATGTCCTGCCAGAACTCCGCCCCCCATGTGCCTGCTGCTGCACGCACCCGGCCTTCGGACACAGCTGATCACAGATCACGGTAAGGGTCCAATACAGCTGCCCTTTACCATGTGATCAAAAGTGTCCAATGACACAGCTGATAACGATGTAAATACAGAGCTGCTAATCGGCAAGTGTGAAAGGGGACATCTACAATGATAATCAGGGCACTGATCATCAGTGTCCTGATGATCAGTGCAGCCCCAACAGTGTCCTTCAGTGCTGCTAAGCATTGTTCTTCAGTGCTGCTAATAAGTGGCCATCGGAGCTGCCAGTGAGTGCCTCCTACAAAGTCCATCAGTGATGCTAATCAGTGGCCATCAGTGCTGCCCGTCAGTGGCCATCAGTGCTGCCCATCAGTGGCCATCAGTGCTGCCAGTCAGTGGCACCTATCAGTGCCCATCAGTGCCACCTATAAGTGCTGCCTATCAATGCCCTTCAGTGCTGTCTATTAGTGTCCATTAGTGCCGTTTGTCAGTGCCCATTAGTGCCGCATATCAGTGCAGCCTCATCAGTGCCCATCGCACATCAGCGCACATCAGTGAAGGAGAAAAAATTAGCTGTTTGCAAAATCTTATAACAGAAACTAAGCAAAACTATTTTTATTCATTATTGTTGGTCTTTTTTTAGTAGCAAAAAATAAAAAACCCAGTGGTGATTAAATACCACCAAGACAAAGCTCTATTTGTGTGTTAAAAATGATAAAAAGTTCATACGAGTACAGTGTTGCATGACCACGCAATTGTCATTCAAAGTGTGCCACTACTGAAAGCTGAAAATTGGCCTGGGCAGGAAGGGGGTGAAAGTGCCCGGCAGGGAAGTGGTTAAGCAAAGCTGTACTCCACTTATTAAGCCAGTAGTGGTTCATTCCTCTGTGCTGAGCTTAGTGACCACAAAGCCTAGTGTACTTCAAAGGCTACATGTATATGACTGCATTTGTTGAAGGCCCTAGTGATTTGTGCTAAAGCGTTACTCTTTTGTGTCTCGTCTTACCTTCTATAATCATTTCATTGCAATGACAGCATATGCTGTAGCCAAACTATGAATGGGTGCAGGTGTGAGCCATGTATTCATTGTAAATTACAATGAAAAAAAAATATGGAAATAATTACAGAAGGCACAAGTGGCTGTTTCATTGAAGGGCTAGCAATTTATAAAAGCATAAGCGTGAAATGTGTTGAATCATTGATAGTAATAAATGCACCTGCCACCAACGGGCTTGTGTACAAATACAGACCAGGGGCGGACTGACAACTCATGGGGCCCCCGGGCAATAGGGGATTATGGGGCCCCTGTGTCCTTGCACAAACTCAAAAAAGCCTATGAAAAAGGTACCAGGGGCATCTCCTGGGGCCCTCTACTGACCCCGGGCCCTCGGGCAGTGCCCGAGTTTCCAAATGGTCAGTTCGCCCCTGATACAGACATAAAGTGTTAGCAAGTCTTTTGTAGAAATAAAAGTGATCGTAAAGGGGTGAATGTAGAAGAGCTACCTGTGTTTTTTTTTTTTCTTGGAAAAGAAACTACAGCACACTGAAAAGAAATCTGAAATTTTGTTCCCATTTCTTTACACTTTATAGACCAATTATGATACATAAAAATATACAACTAATGGTTCCAAGTGGAAAAGCAAAGAATAATTAAAAAAAGTCAAGGAATTATAGATTTAAAGGCAAAAAAGGATGTGTGAAATGAGCAGAGGATATATCATTAATATGATTTTTTTACAATTTTACTGACTGGAGAAAGTGGAGTAAATGCATTGTATAATGAAAAGTCTGCAGTTAGATAATATGAATGGTCATGTTAAGGCTAAAGGGCTGAAAGGAACAAAAAGACTCAATCTTATTATTGTAATGTGCCAGACTATTTTATGTCTGTCTATTGTGTGTATGTGTATATATATATATATATATATTATATATATATATATATATATTTTGTTATACGTTCTTTTCAATGGATGATGGGAAGAGCCATACATCCCTTTTCATTCCAGTGCCCTACTGTACATCCAATACCTCTGTGTAAGAATACCACAGATATGGCCAAAAATCTAGAGCCTTTGCCCTGTTGGCATACTCTTGTTTTGAATTTGCTAGCCTTTGTCAGTGATCAAAGTTCTGTTTTAAGAAAGCTCTTCCTTTATTCATAGTATTTTATTGAAGGACTATTTTCCTTAGTATACTGTCTTATTGCTCCCTCAGCCTACTGCATAGAGACCATACCCTTACCTACCAATTACTAGGAGGTCTTGCTGAGTTTTCAAAATGCACACATTTTTACATCCAAGTTCATGTGCATTTTGAACATGCATTTTTTTTTATAAATTTGCTACAAAATAAACGATTATGCCAGAAAAAAAAACAAAATCGATGTGCATTAAAAAAAAAACACATCAACCCACATGTAAAATTAAAAAAAAAATGTGAGAACTAGCAACAGTTGCCTGTAACCTTGATGTACTTTATAGAGAGCCAGGACTTTTTTTCATTTGGAACGTGGGGAAAAGCAGTTCCAGCACCTCCAGCACTGAATGTATGTAATGGTAAGGGGTGCTGAAGTGTGCTGGAGGGTCTATTAATGCTGACTGTTGGGGGATCTATTGTCACTGGAGGGGATCTATTTTTGTGTGGGGTCTATTGTTGCTGTTGAGATCTATTTTTGCTTGTGGGGACTGTATTGTTGCTGGGGGGAGTCTTATGTTACTGTGGGATCAGTTGTTGCTGCTAGGGATTTAATGTTAAGGGAGAGGTCTATTGATTACGGCTACTGGAAGATATGTTGTTGCTGCTGGGGTCTATTGTTACTGGGTGGTCATTTGTTGTGGGGGGTCCTTTGTTGCCGGGGGGCCTATTATTGTAGATTGGATCTAGTGTTGTTGTGGGGTCTATTGTTATTGGCTGAAGGGGATCTATTTTACTACTTTTCTTGGTATCATTACCAAATTCTATACAAATTTCCACCACAAAATGAAGCTTAGTTCTGTGTTCTCTTAAGGGGCTGGTACTGAGAGGTGGGTAGGGAGTGGAACCGAGGGGTGATGCTCAGAGGTGGGTAGGGGGGCCGAGACAAGGGGTGATTTAGATAGGGGATTTCCTGCGCCTATTCTGCTCTGGTCTGAGGAAAGCTGATCAGGTTTTGCTGTTTGACCTTATAGTGGCAGAAAGTAATTTTACAGAGTTGTTTTTAATATGACATAATCACGTCCCTCTGCACTGGTAAGTGCTCACTGTATTACTCCTTTAACAGCAACTAACAGCTACAAATAGAGATTTGGTTTGATTTAAAGTCCATTTCATAAGTGTTTTTATACATGGTTCATCATGCTTTTTCATGCATATTCGTAATTAAAGGCTTTGGAAAATGCGTAATCTGGACTAAATGCAGATTGGAGGTAAATCATATCCTTTAAAAACTAAAATTTTCTTTTGATTTTTTAGTAATTGATGATGCATGTAGAAAAAGTACATGGGCATAAAAAATGTGAACCTCTGAATTGGTATCATAAAGCAAAAGCAGCCTTAGATGCCTTCATGTGCGCTTAGTAATTCATTCAATATCCTCGCAGCCCTGAAAAGCACTTTATTAGGCAAATTTTAGCTTTTGACTTGCCTTTTTTCCTGCCTCCTAAAGCATCCTAAGGGATCATAGGTGACTTCAGTGACCAACAGAGGGTTGAATTTTCCAGTGTGGGCTAATGTTTGAATTTGTGGAGACCTAAAAGGGATTTTAGGAAGTCTGGTAGGATTGTCATTAGTAATGGATAATCTAAAAAGTCTAAGCTGTTCAATGTACACTTCCAACCTGACAGAACTCCTTCATGAAAGTATGCCAGAGGATGCAGTAGAATACTTGGCTCCAAAGCTGCTTTCCAGTATCTTCATGAATGGTCTCCTGAAAGGCCACAATGCAATATCATCTTAAATAAATGGTTGCCTGTGCAAAAAAAGCTGTGGCTCAAATATGAATGGACTAATCATTCCAAAGCAGCATGCAAGAAGATGAAGAAGCCAGTTATTGCAGCCACTCGTGTTGAGATCCTCTGGCATGAAGACATATTGTGACTGCCTACAAAGTTAAGAAAAAAACAAACTATTGCATTTTGCTGTGGCAGTTTTTTGAGTAGGTTGTCAGGTTGTTATAGGACCCAGGAGGCCACACAAAGCACCTCTTTTATAATCTGTCACAGTACAGCCCTTGTTATACTAGATTTTGTATTTGTTATTCTGTGCTCTGTTGCACATGGCTTACTAATGAGCATTGCTGGTCTTGCCAAACTGTGCAGCTGGCACCTTCTTATCTGGTGCAGACTGAACTAAGAAACATGTCCTAAATAGAAGGATGCAGACACACTGGGTCAACTACAGCCACTTTGTGGTTCTCATTAAATTCCGTAGTTTTGTTATCCTGGATATATGATTTATGTCTTAGTCTGTTCATACACGGGCAGAAGTCTCACACCACACATACATCTGTCTGTCTTTTACATTTAAATCTTTTTTGTGCTCTGGACCGCAATACATTCAGTGCACATGTGGTTTTGTTCCCATTTTCCATTAAAATTCAATTATATAGACATGTTTCAACAAGATCACTATTAGGTGTGAATCCATCAGAAACATTTGGCATTGGCTCCTAAGGAATTCCATTATTGGCCAATCCCCACTCTGGTATGGCCATGTGTGGCAACAGATCATTGTCTGATATATTGTAGCGCTAACACATATTATGTTACCCTAACACATATATTACTGTGCCTACACTAAGTATATACAGTGGGGCAAAAAAAGTATTTAGTCAGCCACCAGTTGTGCAAGTTCTCCCACTTAAAAAGATGAGAGAGGCCTGTAATTGCCATCATAGAAAGAGTAATTCTCAAAATAAGTGAGCGCTTAATACAGCTAATATAAAATCAATTAATAAATTAAAATGAGATAAGAAAATAGCAGCTGAACACCAAAGAGGTACCATATGAACCTTCTCAATAAACAAAAATGCATACAAGGGAGAGGTGCAGCGCTAGCTGAATAAATATACACTTATATACTTGATAAATATAAATCAGTAAAAAGTGCTGTTAAAAGTGCAAAACGGTGACTAAAATAATGAGTATAGTCCATAGCGTGCTCAGAATCCAAGAGAGTCCTTTAAGAGCTCCAATCCCTGGATTCGTGGATGAGGTGATAAAGGTAAAAATTGCGCACTCACCAGATACGCAATTCAAATGCGCATTCAAAGCTGACAATTCCAGGGTCCTCATATGGATCTGGTCAGATCTGGTCACAAAAGGCCCTCCGCCACCATACAATGGATAGGTAGGTAATAGATGGCCGCCGGGGCCCTCGTGGCGCCGGTCGGCGTGACGTCACACCGCTTGTAGCCGCTCTCTGACGCGTTTCGTGCGAAGGCACGTAGTCATAGGGGATTAGCTTCCCCCTATGACTACGTGCCTTCGCACGAAACGCGTCAGGGAGCGGCTACAAGCGGTGTGACGTCACGCCGACCGGCGCCACGAGGGTCCCGGCGGCCATCTATTACCTACCTATCCATTGTATGGTGGCGGAGGGCCTTTTGTGACCAGATCTGACCAGATCCATATGAGGACCCTGGAATTGTCAGCTTTGAATGCGCATTTGAATTGCGTATCTGGTGACTGCGCAATTTTTACCTTTATCACCTCATCCACGAATCCAGGGATTGGAGCTCTTAAAGGACTCTCTTGGATTCTGAGCACGCTATGGACTATACTCATTATTTTAGTCACCGTTTTGCACTTTAACAGCACTTTTTACTGATTTATATTTATCAAGTATATAAGTGTATATTTATTCAGCTAGCGCTGCACCTCTCCCTTGTATGCATCATAGAAAGACCTCAACTATGAGAGACAAAATGAGAAAAAAAATCCAGACAATCACATTGGCTGATTTGGAAAGAATTTATTTGCAAATTATGGTGGAAAATAAGTATTTGGTCAATATCAAAAGTTCATCTCAATACTTTGTTATATATCCTCTGTTGGCAATGACAGAGGTCAAACGTTTCCTGTAAGTCTTCACAAGGTTGGCACACACTGTTGCTGGTATGTTGGCCCATTCCTCCATGCAGATCTCCTCTAGAGCAGTGATGTTTTGGGGCTGTTGCTGGGCAACACGGACTTTCAACTCCCTCCAAAGGTTTTCTATGGAGTTGAGATCTGGAGACTGGCTAGGCCACTCCAGGACCTTGAAATGCTTCTTACGAAGCCACTCCTTCATTTCCCGGGTGTTATGTTTGGGATCATTGTCATGTTGGAAGACCCAGCCACGTTTCATCTTCAATGCCCTTGCTGATGGAAGGAGGTTTGCACTCAAAATCTCACGATACATGGCCCCATTCATTCTGTCCTGTATATGGATCAGTCGTCCTGCTCCCTTTGCGGAGATACAGCCCCAAAGCATGATGTTGCCACCCCCAT